AGATGAACATAAGGAGAGGGCTCACAAAGATTCAAATTTCAGCGCGACGACTATTTTATAATCGACACTTGTCTGAGGCCGTGACAACCAGACCCAGGACAGGGGAAAGGATGCCGGCGATATTTGGCCAAGCTGTAGTGTTTACATTTCCGACACAGACGTTACTTACAAATTTGGAGGATCGTTCAACAGGAACTGCGATGAGATACGGTGCATATCTGGGCCGACGCTAATATTGTTTTGGTCGTGGATCCTGTGGTCCTCTCAGAAAAACTTTCACTTACCAAGCCAAGAAGGGAACAAATCCATGTGGCAGCCGAACGGCAATCACAATAACTGGTAGAATACCTTCGCGCTCTGAAGCGACCAAATATGCAAAGAACGTGGAAAAATCACCGCGGTGTTTCATGTAGTCGCAGAGGCGGCTAGAACAAATGTCTTCGGCATAATAACCTGGAACCGTGATTCGCAGCTAAACATGAAAGAAATTGGAGAGATTTGAAACAGTGTAACGGAGATCACGGTGTGTTCGGACTCTGAGGCGTTGATTTCCAGTACATATAACTGGAAATTCAGGATTTGCCGATGTCCGCTGGTGGACTTAACTGCGCTCGGGAGGCTCCTATCAGTGACCCAGGTATGACAGTGACAAAGATACGTCACATGTGTAATTAACGCTCAACACCGACCGTAGAATCAAGTTCAAAAGCCAGCAGTGCGCCATCAAATGGCTATACCCGATCCAACATATTCAAAGAATGATGATACATGCCATCAAACTTGAGCAAAAGATAACTTCCGTGACACCAGTCTGTACACTGAACATCGAGATTAGACCATGTTCTCCACGTACGGACGGAAGAAGGAAGATCTTTTGATCACCCGACGCTTTAACAATATGGTTTTTAGCAGACAAATAGACACGGAATGTCTGTGCTTTCTTCGTTAGCTTGACTGTAGCCTCACCTGAACTTTCATGCTTGCATCCTCGCTCTGTGTGCGAAAGGATGAGGTGTAGGTCAGAAGTGAAATTGAAAAAGTTGTCGAGACACGAAAGTTGCAATCGACTTGCTTATGTAACCTCCAGGCACCTCTGGATGGCCAGTGGACGTTGAGTGGACGTCACATGGAGGAACATGAAGGAAATGGGAGTTATGTAGAAAGTACCTTGCTGCGGAAGAGATTATATCGAGCAGAAGTGCAGATTAGACGAAGTTTAACAAATGTCTGTGATGATGAATAAACGAAGAGCGTCAATGTTCAATCTATGATCGATGTCATTCTGCGAAGCTACGCGCCCGAACGTATATTCGCGCCGAGGAAAGTCGTACGCAAAGTTGAATCCACCACCTGCGTCGGTGATGTCTACAATCAGGTGACACGGGTACTACCATCAGGAAGAGGTTTGAGGGGTGGGGTCACGAAGGGAAATAAAATGACGTCCACACTCCATCAGTCAAGTGACTGGTCTGGCTGTCCAACCGGCCCTGCAAAGTCCCAAATGACAAACCGTCTTCCAGCACCGGACGAGAGATAGCGTCCAGGAACATAGGTTCGGCCTGACGACCGCCTGAGGCGCAAAGGGAACGTGGGGGGCGGAAGTCGTCGAAGTGTCGTTCGTCGACCAGGGAACTTTCAAATGCTTGCTTGCCTTCGCTCTGGTTGGACTTGCAACGTAGGTCCATCTCAACTGTTTCATCGTTCCGAAAATCATCCTGATGTCATGTGTGTGGGACGAAATTTGGTGGTACGATATCTTTAGGATCACGTCGTCTATTTGTGCGTATGACTCTTTTGTGCCCGTAATTCAGCTTTCTCGCAGCGAGTACTCACGCAACATCTGGCAGAATCCCACAATTCGGCGAAGGATGGAGCTGCCAGACATCAGGTTTGCCATACTGGAGATCCTTCGGGCTTCTTTGCAAGTAATAATGTTACCCCATTGTCAGATTGCAGTTGGCATCATTGGCGTCGTACTGATCCGGGCCGAGAGGGTCGTTGCGGATGAAAAAGACGATGAGACAAACCAGGCCAAACATACCCGTACTGCAAAGACGTCAAGTAAGGCAATCTGGCGCAGATTCCTACAGTGTTGATTGCTCACGCGCAGGGTGAGGAAGGCCACCCGAGCGGGGCTGCAGGGGCACGTTCGAGTTTTTATAACAGTTGGTTTTATCTAAGTGGCAAAGTCAAGGTGTGGCCGAGACCGCAAATTGCAATGGCCTGTTCAATGTCTTGACACAGTGACGCTGTCCGACATGTCCTGATATGTACACCCATGTCGTCGCCGTGCCATTGGACCAGCGAACTTGACATTGGCATCTCGCTGAGTAGGGAAATCTGGGGAGATTGGCTGTAAGGACTCGGTCCGACGCTGTCGACCGTTTGTTCAGATGGTGAATTCTCTATGACAGTCTTACTTATCATCTCATTTGTTTCTTGATCCTACTTTACCCGTAGCAGTACTCTGACATATTTCGTGCCTGCTCTCTAACCTATAAAATGGCCTATGTAGCGTACTGTACGGGGACTCTCTTTTCTACCTCGAATCAAACAGACCTTTCACTCTGGAAAAAAATATGTAATGGTGATGCGAAGTTATAAGACTTGCAACGACACCACACCAGGATTCTTCTTAAATACTACTTGTTTCCAGAGTGAAAGGTCTGTTTGATTCGAGGTAGAAAAGAGAGTCCCCGTACAGTACGCTACATAGGCCATTTTATAGGTTAGAGAGCAGGCACGAAATATGTCAGAGTACTGCTACGGGTAAAGTAGGATCAAGAAACAAATGAGATGATAAGTAAGACTGTCATAGAGAATTCACCATCTGAACAAACGGTCGACAGCGTCGGACCGAGTCCTTACATTGGCCATGTATTAATGCCACCGAGTGCCAATCAGGGTCCTGGTGCATCACGTATAGGTAGTTCCAACACAGACTTCGTGGCAGATAAAGCGTGGAGGGTTCTACGTTTGACACGTTACATGTCTGTTTGATGGTAGTCACGGATTGAGAAGGTATGGCGTTTTGCGGGGTTCATAGGGAGGGCTGACGATATCCATGGTTAGTTAACCGTACTTCTCCCCACTGCTGTCTCGTCAACTTGTTGTCCCCATGGCAGACCGGAATGTCACAAATCTGACATCGGATGATTTCGGTCAGCGCGCTCCTCATGCATGTTATACTTCTTTCGACGTTGTGGTATAGAGTTCTTCATCAAACTGCAACACTGTCTTCTAGGCCTCTACGCGTGAGCTTTCTGCCGACTGCTCAAGAAAACCACTCATTGACTATTTAGTTGGGAATTTGTTATCTCGCACGACTTCGATTGGAAAGTTATCACCGGGAAACATGCCTTTCGATGGCCCTTGGTAAGCATCCTTGCTTGATGAACAATTCAAACCGGCCCACTGATACCCCAGCAGTTTTTTTATTTTGCTGGAAGATATTTGATGTTGGCTGCATTAATAGGAATGTAAGCCATATCCTTGATAACTACGGACCACCTATATGCTGCTGAAATATTGTGTAGCATAGTCTCAGTTGACCCTCCCACGTATGTCCTACACACCCTAACATCTGTGGCGTATTGACACCGTAAAACAACACAAAAGGACGCTAAATTGTCATAATTTGGTCACATTCAACGAGGTTGGTTGCCGTTATCATTCTCAAAACCTAGTTGAGCGCAAAGCTTCTTCTCTTGGTTTGGCTTGCATCAACTTGGCAGTTCGCACGTATGCGCCAATGTCTTCGGGACATGTACTCTTTCCGACGGATATTCTAGCATTGCCGTATGGCACAATAAGTGGATTACGCGGCTTGTGATTCTCCTCGTCCTTGGGCATTGGTCACTGGTATTGCAGAGCGGCCTCGTGATCACGTCATGGACACCGACCTCGGGTTGTGTAATCGTGGAGACCAAAAATACTATTCTCGCTGCGACGTCCTTGTATGCAATGAGCTTTGATTTTATCGTTCTCTGCCTTTTGGCCTATAGGCTGGCCTTTGCCCTTGACCCGATATCCATCGCCTCGGGTAGACTCGCGCGCAGGCTTATTTCTGAGGGACTCATCTATTTTCTTGTCTCGTAAGTTCACAATCGCTTTATAGTATATATAAATATATCTCGCTTCTCACCAGTTTCATATGCAATTCTATCTCCTCGCTGCTCATGATTATTGTTGTCTACGACCCCGTGGTGGCCGTGATTTTTCATATCCCTGCCTGCGTTGCGTCCACGGTAAGCACACATAGCTGACAAGCGATACCGCCACCTAACTGATTCTTTATGTTGGGCAGATTGCATCCTCGCGAGTCGTTCGCAGCCTTAGCACATTCAATGCGGAGACAGGGAGAGTACAGTAAACACGTTTCAACTGATGAGTCGCGCACAGTGCGATGACCACTTGATTAGCACCGATATTGGCAGTGTTCGCAACACTCCCGTATTCGTAGGGGGGACTATCTCCTCCAGAGGAAATGTGCGCACGGACCGAGTAGATGACGTTTGCATTGAGGTATGTTCCGTTTCGTTTTTACAACAAAATATGTACTCGTGTATTCCCCTTATTAGACGGGGAAACTCTCATCAATTGGAGCAGAAGCCGACCAAGGCATATGCAGCCATGCTGCAGAAGTTAGTGAATCAGATGAGAAGTTGTCTGCAGACGGCATGGTTTAGACAAGTCGGTTGCTGCCAGACTGCGTGGAGCCTTCTGCAGTTGTAATTTTACAATTGTTATGTAGTTTGGGTCCTTTGAGCTTTGGTAGCGCTTCCCTTGCGCTTCCCATCTCTCCTTGATTTCACTCTGTATTTGTATCATCATCATCATGTGTGCTTCGACCTGACATTGTACACTTATGGCATTATATAGGCGAGTTCAATACCTATGTATGTACTGTACCTCCAATTTGTTCCGGTGGGTATCACGGTATTGACATGTAGATCTTGGTTATGGGTAGAGTAGGTTAGCCACCAAAAAAATTAAAAGTGAGGTCCTGCCAGGATTCGAACCTGGGTTTCGGGAACATCTTATAATCAGAATCCCGAGTGATAACCGCTACACTACAAGACCATGCAACGCATTGCATGCTGCTGCACACTAACACCAACTCACGGGCCCTCAACCACCTCGCTAGCGCAGGACATACAGCTGACCGCATACCAAGCTCTTGATGTACACTTCATTCGTTAACAGTCCAGGCTTGATGTACAGCACTGTATCATCTCTAGTGGGAGAAGGGGGTTGAGATCAGACCTGTTGTTTGGGAACGTGGGCAAGACTCTGGAAGACTAACAATTCGAACAGTCATCGCTATGTTACAATCTTCGAGCAAAACATAGTTCCACATCAATAGCCCATAGCAGCAGCGGCAGCAGCGCACCTGTATTGAACCAACCACTACGTTCTCCCAGGTTCCGAAGATTAGTATCGTCTTCCCATCTACGCAAGTGAATAAAGATTATGCGAGTCGTCTGTGCACCTCTGTAGATCTTGTGCAGATTGCCTAGGGCACCCCTGCGCGCCGAAAGTCGTGTTACCACAACTAAAACAAGTGTGGTTGAGATGGAGTAGCCCTGGAGTGCTGGTTGTCGAAACACGGGTGGACCGCTCCTTGGCTATTCAATCTGCGCGTGAAGTGTGTGACGATCTGTCCCCCCCCCCGAGTCTCACTCTCACCCTGATGGACGGTATGTGTGACTTGGAAGACACGGGGCGCTGCAGCCTTGCTCTCCTACAACTTTGGATAAGGGTTTGTCACGATGAGGTCCTGAATGTCAGTGAGGGTGACCGGCATGAGAGCTTCCCCTGGGTGGAGCAGTGGTGGCTGCACCACATCCTCTGGGCGTATCAGATAGCTAACTTCGGAGTTTCCGAAAGTTCCAATTCATCTGGTACGTCGGTGTGTGACACTGAGGTGCCTCCCAAGACTGACGAAACGTGGCGCACGAATGAAAGGATACAAAGGATTGGGCTAGGTCACTGGGCGTAGAACGGAGTGCAAGGGGATAGCGCAGGTAGAGTACAGCTTACGCGGTGCACGGCCTATGAGCGTCCAGCCCTGGTCCTATGGGAGCTATCCCCCACTTCTGATACTGCTTCATCCACACCAGAACGAGGAGCTGTCCTTGAGAGGAGCGTTCGATCACCATTAGTTCAGTTGAACCACTTAGTCACTAGAAGTTAGTGACGAGGAAAGAATCCTTTGATCACTGTCCCTCGTTATACCTGGGAGTCTATGTACTTACCCCCTGCGCCGCGGCAGAATCAGATTCCAATTCGGTGGCGATTAACGGAAATGAGGCTGGAAGGAACAAGGACTTGCCTTCAGCGGTTTTGGTTCCAGGCCATGGAATGTTTATGAGAAAGCCCTAGGGTCGTTCACACGTCTGTCTGTGGAGTGGAGCAACGGAAAATAAGTAGTCAAACTTCTGCCGGATCTATCATTGGAGCAACCCCAGCCTGGGCGGCATGCCGCCGACAGCAGGAGTCGAGCGCATGAAGCATCTGTCGTTGTCTCCAACTGACTTTGTCGTTATGCATTGTAGTTCAATGAGCTGGTGTCGCCCTTGTGAGTTGCCCGGGCTCGGGGGGGTCGTCAATGGAAACAGGTGTCGAGTGGCAAATGCCGGCGGAAGCGGTAAAAGTGTGTGATGACGTCAGGGGTGCTCCCTTTGCCGGGCGCAGTCGCCCTTCTCCGAGGCTACGGAACACCTTGCTATCTTGCATGCGGCCAAGTACATCGCGCGTATTCATAGCACAGATAAAAACAACGCACGTTTCCATGTTCACGCGCGAATGCTGCTGAATAGAACAATGGAGCTGCAGAGAAGTTGGAGTTTCGGACAGATCGTCACGGTCACCCCCGTTTCATCAACTCGCATACCCAACCTATTTAAACACGATACTAACACTGTGACATTGGCGGACATCTAGCGCGACACTATCCCCAGTGACGCTCTTGGCGAGATTTATATTGAAATCTGTTCTAACAATCTGCGCGCACGAAGTAACGAACAACAATTAGTACAGAGTACGTTTTTCTTTCTGCTGTACTTTGTCTATCCAGACACTGGTCCCTTTCCACTGTGATGTCCCACATGCCAGGCCATCGTTCGCTGACCATACCTACCAGTATCATGACACAATCTCGTTCCCCGTCTCGCCAACAAACGGATTCTTCGAATGGAGACGGTCAACCCTCTACCGCTTGCCATGGAGGAATCAGGACCCCAAGGCGTGTTCAATGGGCTAGCAGAGATGATGTCCGGTTAAGCATCGACCCCGAGACATTATCCCATTTGAGCGTGCACGCTCTGGACGAGTTGGGGCTCGACGTATGTCCATCATGCTATTTTTCCAATCGTTGGTGTCCAACCCACTTTACTTAGCCCGAAGCCTTCGAAAACCTTCGAAGTGCTCTGGAACGGCACAAATCTGGGAGCGTTAGCGCAAGGGACGGAGCAGCCCATGAGATGGATCCATCCAGATCACAATTAGAGTCGGTCTTGCTCACTCAGCGTCTCCCTTCCCGTCCAGCTCTACCTCCGCAAAGCAGTGTCACGTCCACAACCTCAAACTCCAGGCACGATCAAAACCCCTTTTCAAACCCAGTCCCTTCTCATCGCTTCTCACCCTTATCCTCCACGGATATAGACAGACCCCTTAACGTCGAAACCCCCTCAACAGACACAGGAGCAAATACGCCCGAATCTGATGCGCCCTTGTTGGTACAGAGCACACACAAAGTTCCTGGTGAAGTTTGGATAGACCCTAACGAGAGGGAAGGTTTACCTGTCGGCCCCACACCTCTTGGATTGACACTTGGCATCGATGTGGGCGGGACAGATTCGAACCGTGATTCCTCAACAGGGATGACCCGTCGAAGTGCCCTTCTCGGAAGCCTGCGGCGTAGCAACGATGCAGACTTAGGGAGAAGATTCAGCACGCGCAACAGTGCAGCTGTTGTCAATCCTGCTATGGAGCGACATGCTGAGAGGCTGGCAGTACATCGGGCAGCTGGTGTCGTTAGGGCGCATACGAGGAGAAGAGAAAATTGGGTACATCGACCCCAACCTGGAAAACACATCGTCTGCGAACGAGGGGAGGATGATGGGGTAGGTACAGATGCAGACAGGACCGAGAAAGATGCCGAGAAGAGGATGCAGAACGGAGGGAGTCGTCTGGATCATCCAGATCTAAAAGATGATGCAGAAGCAGAGTGGACGGACGTCGATCAGTCGCATCCGGAGCCCAAGACGCTGTGCCATGCAGACAGGGATCGTAACAGGATGAGGAGAAAAATTCCGTCATGGTTCCGCTCGTTCGCTAATCGATGTTCACATTCTGGTACTTCTACGCATTTCGACCGAATCGATCCTGAAGCCAACACGGCATCCTCCATGCACGCGCTGCACCCTCATCCCCGTCTAGGAAATGGGGTCCTTAGTGCTTTGTTGACACTATACGGACACGACCACGATCATGACCACGAGCGTGAGGGTGAACATGACGACGAAGGAAGTACAAGTGGAGGGAGCACACCAGGCCGCAGGAGCCGCTCGAGTTCGGTAGCGGGAAGTGAGGATGAAGTATCAAAGTTGGAAGAACCAGAGAGACCATGGTTAGATCGACCAGAGGGCAAAGGTAAGAACAGTTCGTTTAAACCAACTGCCCCGACCCACACTGAGGCCGAGACGAAAGTTTCAACATCTTCGCGCGGAGGCACCTCCAAACCCTCGAGGCTTACGAAACCAGTAGGCAGATCCCTGAAAACGTCTTCCGCCTCCTCTCTTCTACACGCTCTCCACCACCGTACGCAGTCGTTACCGACATCATCGTCGACAGCTGCGCTTATCGCGGGTGCGGGTGCGCTTACTGGGGCTGCTGTCCCAAGCGGTGCCACCCTTGCACCAGATCTACGGAGAGGAGAGGGCTTGGTAAGATACGAGATTGATGGGGGAGCCACAGATGCTACTGGAGAAAGAGAGACAGGATCGCCTGACACCGTAGTGCCACCGCCGGCTTCTGCAGAAACTTCACAGGCTAGCTCGTGTTCGCAAACTAACACATCTATCAGTCCAGCCAGTACAGGCTCAGAAACACGAGCAGGAAGTAGGGGAATCAACAGAGGATGGAAGGCCGTTCTCCGGGACCTTCCCCTTCCGTCGACAGGGGTAGTGGGTGATGTTCTGAAAGGGGTGTCGCGTTCCTTGCCTGGTACCCCAGGCGGCCTCGGAAGCTTGGGGTGGGCTGCGTCGAGTGAGAATATGACGCCTTGGTCAAGCGGGGATGCTACTCCGCACAGTATAGGTGGTGACGGGACTTCGGAGACTGGGACACCTGTTGAATGGCTAAAAGAGGAGGGTAGAAAGGACTACTTCGGGGAGAAGTGGGAGGAAGCGCCGAGGGAAAAGAAGAAAGGAAGAGAGATGGAAATGGAGAATAAGAATCGCGGAGAAAAGGAACGGAAGAAACAGGAGCGAAGGGAAAAGAGAAAGAGGGAAAAGGAGAAGAGGCAGAAAAGAAAGAAAGCAGAAGTTTGGGCAAGTCTCCGTTTTATTTCTTTTCCCCTATATTTGTCGAGTATTCATATCGTCGCACAGATCACCCGCCATGTCGCCGCCATTCTCCAGCGGCAAGAATTTATCCTTAAGCTTGCACGTGCCATGATGATGTTTGGTGGACCATCTCACCGCTTTGTCGCGCAGATACAGAGCACTGCCCGCGTGCTCGACCTCGATCTCAGTTGCATGTATCTCCCTGACGTAATGCTTATATCCTTCGAGGACAGGGCCACCGGAACGAGTAATGTCAAGTTTATACGCCAGACCTCAGCGTTGGATCTGGAGAAGCTCAGCGATGCACACACTCTCTACTGGAATGTGAGCATTGGTGCCCTTTTCCTGACTACCTTTCGGTGTGCGTCGTGTGTGGTTACTTACCATACGACCAGGTTATTCATGACAACATATCTGTCTCACAAGCCTCCGCCGCGCTCGACGTTCTGATGCAAAAGAAGCCCTTGTACAACTTTGCACAACTTGTCTTCATCGGGGCGATGTGCTCTGCTT